AGCACGTCTGACATTGTGAGCACGTCTGAGAGTGTGAGCACGTCTGACAGTGTGAGCACGTCTGACATTGTGAGCACGTCTGAGAGTGTGAGCACGTCTGACAGTGTGAGCACGTCTGAGAGTGTGAGCACGTCTGACAGTGTGAGCACGTCTGAGAGTGTGAGCACGTCTGACAGTGTAAGCACGTCTCACATTGTGAGCACGTCTGACAGTGGGTGTACGTCTGGTAATGTGATGATGTCTTACAGTGGTAGCCCGTGTGACATTGTCACGAGCGTTGCCGTGCCGACGACCATCCTCAACTTCCCCGGCATTAACGCCATGTCCGGCTACGCCGTCGTTATCTTCAAGTTGGCGCGCACTGGGATCAACGCTTACCAATGCGCTATGGTGCTGGCAGCGGTGCGGCTGCTCTGCGACCTCTCTTCTCGACGTCGCCAATCGACCGACTCGGGCGGGGCGCAATGCTCTCCATCTTGGGAAAGTTCTGCACCGTCTCTCGGGCGATCTTCCGGGCTTACTTCTTCAGAACGGTAGTAGTGGAGGAGTAGAGGTAGAAAGTAGACGTAGAAGTAGAAAAAACAAAAGTTGGTAGAGGAGCAGGAACGATTTTTATGTTGATGAACAAAACAGTGAATAGCGCCCCTTATTCTTTTGCTCCCCGGATTTCAATGACATTATATTTATGTTTGATGAAACTGATAATCTACAAAATTGAAATGTTAATTTTCGAACTGAATACGTGTCCTGGTACGAGGTCAAATATGAACAATTCGACAGGATCTATTTTCTTTAATTTCTAACAAGGATGCATGATTTGCATGTCAGGTGTTATTTCGATGTGCATGTTACGATCAACATTCGCTATTTGTCCACGAGGATGAAATTAATTATACCTTATCAACATACCGCAACATCCATGTCCCAGACCCATGTTCTCCCCTTTCACGAGCATGATAACCAACAATGAAAGCAATGATGCTGGGAACGTCAGAAGTCACTTAGGGCCTATATATACTTGATATTAAAATTGACGAAGAGCTAAGTGCTTTAGAATGCCTGGCTCATGATTTATCATGCCTCGAGGTAACTCCAGAGGTAGATGTGTGTTAATTCCCCAGAAATCCCGTGTTATTTTGGCTTCTGATAATAGGCCTCACCAGCCGCGCACTGTTGTGTTGACCACTGCAGCGGTTGTTTTGGTTTGAATGCCAATGACATTGAAATATCACGAGAAGATGGGCATGCGATAATATTACCACACTTCACCTTTCCAGCTGCTTGCAGCTTCCAGTTGTGAAGTTCACTCAGCTCAGACTACGGATTGATTCACTGCCTGCGTATAAACGGTGGACGAAGTCGAAGCAAAGTTGGGTAAACTTGCGTGCTTTGTTTCCAACGTTACACATAAAATGACTGCATACGTTCGCGTTGTCAAAGTAACAAGAGTAAGCAAGCGATCGCTTGACCATTAAACTGTGATCACGTGATTTTAGGGGTGGACCGGAGGGGGAAAAGGGGCAATATCCCCCGGAACCATTGCAAGCTTGTAGGAAAAATAATGCTTTTTAAGCTAAAATTTTCTTTTTACTGTTTCATTTCTTTAGCAAATAGAAGTAGCTCAATGTAGTATTCGATGTAGTATCCGATGAAATATCCAATCCAAGTAGTATCCAATGTAGTATCCGATGAAAAACAGGCAAGCAGGGTGAAATATGAGATAGGCAGCGTCGCCGCTGATGCGGACGTAGGCCACCAAATACACTTAAACAACACTGTTCAACTAAAACGTTCCACTGGGGTGACACGGAGAATAGTATGTTTTGCGAGAATTGTTCATGATCTTTGGCATCCCAATGACGAACGCATGACAATCGGACCGACTAATCAACGTATAAGCCTAACTGCCAACACTTCATTTAAGCCACTTTCTGCATACATGGATCGTTGTACATGATAAACATAGGATATGCCAAAGACAAATGTGATACAAGTACCGTATTTGTACAAAGCTACGCCAGTTTTGTATTTTGTATTTTCAGTGATTACCGAAGTTGAGGCTTAGTTACTTGGTTTGTCCGCTGAGTTAAGAACGTCAGATTTTCAAGTAGCATGTGCAACATTCTGCATGTTAAGCGCACCAAAAATCAACGATAAGACGTCTCGCGTGGGGATCGCTTAACTGTCTTCTTCTGCTTTCTTGACCGCAGCAACTACCTGCGGCCGCCTCATAGATAACGCCGTTCAGGTGCCCCCACAGGACGAAGCTGAGAGATGACGGCTCAAGGGGATAAGAAGCCTACCTCGTGCCGAGTCAGTGACTCGACACTTTGTCACCGAAGTGATTCTTGAACCAATCTAATGATTCGTGGAAGTAATGAGATGTCGTCCCGTCCTGTTGAGGCCAGTCATGTCATGCCGGTGCGCGTGTGCTTTCCCTAGATGCTGTCAGAAACTCTCAATTAATTCTATGCAGTGCTACGCACTTATTGCAGCTTCGAGCTGCCAACTGCATGGAAACAGAATGATCCGATCAGGCCACGCATAGATATCGTCATACATGCTGTACACTTCACTGAGTGGAGGAGCCACTGCAGAGCCGTGTCGGTTTTGGTTTCCCCATAACATATTCTCTGTTAAGTTGACATTGTCAGCGAGCAAAAAGGGAAGACGCGCGTCGTGAATGAAGCATAAATTGCCAGAAAACTTCGGTTCCTGCTCAAGCTTATCAAAACACTGCTATATCGCCAGGTATTTTTCTATGTCTTGCGGTTGGAGTTTATGTAACACAAGTGTATGGGGTGGGTGTGGCTTAAACTCCTTTTTCAAAATGCTGAACAATTCAGTTCTGGCATTGACTACGCATGGATTTCGTCGGACCGCGTGCGACAGATGCCAGGGCCGCAAAGATTTTGGCAGGATTCTTTGATATCTTGATCTTCCCGAATAAAGCACTCTTTCCGGGGCTGAAGCGTTCGACTGTGCAACGTTCAATTACGTCTGAATCTATGCATCCAGAGACAAAGTGATTGTTGAGGATATTGGGTCTTTTAATACCGGAACGATTAGCAAACTCCAAGCGGATGTTTTGGAAAAATCTGACCGTTTTATATTTGTCGACGCGAGGTACTCTTAAGACAATTGTTAACACCATCGTGATTAAGTCATGGCGCCGGCACCAACAAACGATTTGGAAAAATAGCGTGATACGTGTATTTCACGTGACTGCTCATCTTCGAACCACACCAGTTTTAAGAGACAAATGTTGCATTTTTTGGGAGGAACAGGGTCCCGATGCCTCTCAGGACAGAAAGAGCAAGAATGTGTGCACACAGGAACAAGGCAGCGTAGTTCGCCTAACTTTTGCGTTATTTTTACTGCGCATGGGCCTAAATAATTAGGTGCAGATAGGAAACTCAACTTTTTTAGGAAAAGGAACAGTTTTCTTTGTTGTCTTTGCAGCATTTAGAAGCATCCACCTGTTCTGATGGAAGTTCACAGCTAGACACCTAAGAGAATTTCGGGCGCCAGCGGTGAGATACATTGAACTGCCCTTATGGTAGCTGTGACACCAACATTGCCTATTCATGGCTGGAGCCACTTTCGTCACAATGCGAGTGTTGGCAAATTCATCACTCCTTCGTTGAGGAAAAGGCAAGCAGCACCAAATGTGCATGTTGTCATTGTAACGGCATGCAAAACGTGCTTACTCATTCCAGAGAACACACCCTAGGCTCCACCGTCAGAGATCAAACGCCACGCTCATTCCTAACAATCCACGCAGCGTCCGCCTCTTGTGAGCAGTACGCCGAGGCTGTGTTTTAAAACATCTGCCGCAAATGCGCATTGATTTGTCGTATATACTTTTACGACTTTTAACACGCGTTGCAGAGAAACAACGTGCATTTACTGTAATCAAGTTACCATACCCAGAGAGGTAGAATGTTTGCGTATTCATAATTCGTAGAAAATAGGTTGGTATCCTGTTGTCTATGACCATCAGCATCGTTGGCACACATGCATCTATAAATGCTTGCGTTGTAAACGAGAACATTAAGTGTGTAATGACAGCGATCACGGTGATTGAAAGAAAGAATGAATGGCGATCGCAGAAATGATTAATGATTTGCTATCACACGATCCTCCGCTGCCAAGAACGAGTATCTGTGGAGTTAGAGCGTCGCACTGTCGCAGCAGTTTGAAAGGCATGAGACCGAAAGTCATATTAATTTGATATAGCCTAGATATCATTGTTTGTTCAGTGAGCCATTCGCAGCCAGCCATTCGGGAAGCCTTTATTATGTTAATCTAAGTCAGGGTTTGTCCTGTTTTTCCTTGTTCACCAAGCCCAGTGCGTGTCAAGCCGATCAGGTGGACCCCTGACGGCCGGGCTGCCAGCGAAGCAAACCAAACTCACGTTGTCTTGGGCGCGTCAGACCCGCTCGTCGGCGCCAAGTGGAAAGTCAGCGGATAAATCGCACAGAGATTTGCACTGAGCGGTCTGCATCAGGTGAACGCGCACATGCGCAGGCGCGTGGTATCTCGGTAGGCAGGCCATCGGGACGTTAGCCCCCCCCCCCCCCCCCAACCATAACAAGCCTCAGCGCTGAAGCGTCGGAGGAGTTCTGCAAGGCAGCTGTCGGTCGACAGCCTGACTGCGAGGTTTTCGGACGGCGTGGCACGGAAAGGATGGGGCATTCAGGCAGTTATGGTTCTACGGAATGACTGCGACGCGGTATTAGTATCGCGGATGAAGAATTTGTTCTGACTTCTATTCTCCTGTAGTGTGGAAGATTGTACACAACTTTTCGGCGAGTTGATTGGTCGTTAGTCGTCAAGCGTCATTGAGTTCTGGGACAGACTTGATGGCATTTGGCTTTCAGTAATGTAGCTATCATAACCCAAACTTTGTGCTCGGCATTGCTGGAATTTGAACCCGAGTCTCCTGATTACGAGCCCAGCATTTTACCACTGAACAAAGTGGGAAGGAAAAGGTTCCGTTTTAATGACAGACGTACGTTGCGAGGTACATAGCACAATCCGCTCGCCGTTTACACGTCATCCAGAATGGACCCACAGCGTCGTAGTCGTGTCTGCGTTCTTCTTTGGCTCTCCACCGCCAGGTGAGAGCGATCCGAGCCTTCTCGTACCGACTGGTGGTTACAGATAGCCACGCGGTGTCCTGGTCAGCTGGCTGAAGGGCCGGTGGACCTCCTTCACCACATCGATGGAGTCGATGACGCCGCCCGTCCCATCCACCGAGACCTGCTCCATGGACATGTGGGAGCCGTTGTGGAACGTCATACGCGTGTAGCCATAGTGGATGCTGCGGAAGGCACTCCATGGCGCCCGGAAAGGCCAGAACGGGTTGTGGTTCTCATCGCAGCCCTGTGGAAAGCAGACAGACGATTAAAGGGAACGTTTCGCATTTAAGATATTGAAGCAATCATTACATATGATGAAACAAGCTCAGTTATGGCTATCATCATACTTTTAGGTAGAAAAGGCTGCTCTAGACAACCCAATTTCACTGCTTAGTAAATATGCTCCTCGATAACCCGTTGTTTGATTACGTCATCACACCTCGCACGACATTGGATGAGACCCGGATGCCCGCCGTTATATCCGGAGATGGTGCTTGCGAACGCCAGATACAAACGGCTCGGCCATTTTATTTTTATCGGGATTGATCGCCGCCCGACTTATGGAATGACGGGACTTGAATGACGTTATTATGACGTCATGCATGCCAAGGTTAAATTGAAGTATTCCCTTCGGGGAAGTCTCTCAATTTTCGTGGGCGTTTAGCTGAAAAACTAGAGGGGTTTGGGTCTTAAGGAAAGAGCTGTGAACTACACCGAAAGATCTTCAAAATGGCTACATCACTTCAAAACCCCATAGAAATGTGGAGCACTCCCTTTAAGCCGCCAGCAAAGTAAAACAGGGGGCCAATGGTACTTAAAGAAATTAATCTCGATAAAGTTGACCGCTTCAGCTAACAGCGCTAGTCCGTTACCATACATCCGATGGGGCATGTTTCCCGCTAGTCGCGAAATACTGCACTCCACAATCAGTTCCATATCTTCTTCATTCAACTTCCTCATCAGTAAGCAATCATCCGAACCCCGACCCGCCAGCCAGGGAGCGTTTGGACGACCCTGACGTGCCGCGGCTGACGGCAGACCCTCCCCTGAGCTCGCCGCGCCGCTCCTGTGAGGCCCACCTACCGCCGAGCCGGTGGTGATGTGTACCGGGGCGCCGGGGTTGAGGTACGGCTGGTCAACAGTGCCTTTGTAGACGGTGTAGTTGTAAATGGGCCAGAGCCGCTCGTACGAGTGCTCGTGTGCCCAGATGGCCAGGTCGACGCCGTACTCCATCAACAGGTCCTCCATGCCGGGGCTGCGGGTGCGGCAACGCCACGGTGCAGTGGGTGAGGTCAGAGAAATGTTCATGACGTGTAGGAGCAAACCCGCAGAAAGCACGGGTCAACAATACCCCATTGTCCATTACTGTATGCAGTTGCGGAGATGTACCACAGCAAAGCGCTCCTTTATTTTAAGAATCATTGCTTAAGAGTGCTTTATTCCAGCGCACTGCAGACAGACGTCTATCTGGTTCCGACCCCGGTTTAAAAATTTGCTAGAGCGACCCCAAACTTGGAACCCCAGCAGCTGAAGCAAGCTTCACCCCGGTCAAGCCTCGCTGAGGACCATCCCCCGTTCCCAGCGTCCTGTCCCTGTGGCCACGCCGACGCGTGCTCACATGTTGCGCTCCGGTATGCCGACCCTGAGAAGGTCGTGCGCCTTGGTGCAGTCGTCCTGGTTGAGGTTGGTGCAGTACATGGGACGGTGGCCGTACACCACGATCCAGGGTCTCTGAGCGCGCGCCGATGGTTCGCTCGCCATCTGAGCAGGTCGGCTCCGGTCAGGTAGGGTGTGACGTCACACGCCGGCCTGGCTCGGGCGGCCGCGACAACGGGACGCTTGTGAAGCTTCGGTGAAGCTGATGGGTGGGAAGCTGAGACTACGGACAACGTGTGCAAGCAGGGCCGCGACGACGGGACGCTTGTGAAGCTTTGGTAAAGCTAATAAGTTTGTGAAGGGAGGATGCAGTGAACGTATGAATGGAAGTTCAAACGGAAGCCGTAATTACCTCGTGTTAAGCAAGACTGCAGTGAATGTACTGAAGCTGTAATTACCTCGTGTTAAGCGATGACTGCAGTGAATGTACTAAGTGAAGCTGAGCAGCCAAGGAGCTACATTTGACGGAGACTTCAGTAAACGTGACGCAAGCATTGGTAGGTAAGAAAAAACTAGGAAACCCTTCTGAGAACGCGTCAACTATGCTTTGTTATTCGCAATGTCACCTTTCGACCGAGTCAACGGCACGGTGGCACTGACGCAACCGCGTAACGCGAACACAAGTCCGATACCCAGCCAGATGCCGTGTACCTCTCGCACTCTCCTCGGGAAGGTGACAGGTGCGCACGAGGTCAGGAAGATCGAAAGCACTCGCGACGATAGCAGCGCGGGAGAATTATTGATACGGCGCTGTCTGTCTGTTCACACATTCGTGGCGTTACGAGCGCTACCTGCCTCGAGTCAGATTTGTTTAAAGGTATGTTGAATTGCTGCTGGCGTCGCGTACCCGCAAATCTGCTTTCATCCAGTTGATTTGGTTGACAGCCTGTCCATAGCCATAGCTGGTATAATAGTAGAACTCTGAGGACACGGCCACAAAGTGGACGGGACCCATGTCAAAGCTGAAGAACATGCTCTCCGCCTCTCCAGGCATGCTGAACCTGGAAATAAAGACGTCACATTGGCTCATCACAAAACCAGCTGATGATCGGTCGCTGATGTGCCCAGTGACTCGGTGACGGCGACAAACATGCCAGACCGACGCCAGAGACGTCAGCGGAAATAGCCAACCCGACAACGAAGATCATCATGTACCCTCCTGATCAGTTAAGTTATTGCCAGTCATGGTAATCTTCCTCGATTTGCATGTACACCCCCCTCGTGGCACCCAATTGCGATACTTTCTCCGGACGTTTGGCCTTCCGGGTGTCATGTCGGTGACGTTGTCCCGGTGGTCCATCCCGTCCCTCGCACCTGCTCTGTTAGTTGGAGGAATTTTCAGCCTCTCCAACTTCGGCGACTGTTGCCGTAGTTCGAGAGGATGCCTGGCCGTCCCTGGCCCCGAACCAACATCTGTAGGTGGAGAGGTACTCATAACGACTCACCTGTTCTTGTAATTGGAGAAGTTGCCGGCCTGCTCGTGGTTGCCGGGGCACGTCATGTACGGCAAACGGGCGGCGATGGGCTGGATCTGCCGCATGAACTGGTCGCTCACCTCGCCCTGATGGCTGTCCATGTCATAGGCGAAGTCGCCCACGTGAAGCGCGGCGTCATACAGGCCCTTCTGCGTGTCCTCCTCCAGTTGCGGCAGCGAGCGAGCGTTCTGACCAGCCGGTGTCATCGTCAGAGACAGGACCAACATGGTTTAATTGCTCGCGACGTAAGTGTGGCCTGTCTTGAGTATTGCAGCCATTTTAAGGTCGGGCCTAAACACGCGCGACATGAGACAAGCCAGGACTGGCTCTGGAACTGCTCGCAAGGAACAGCTTGCCAACAAGTCCACACCGCACCTGTACTGCATACCCACCACGGAGCCGAGATCGCCGTAGACGACAAGCCGTGGACTCCAGTCGATGCCGGGCTTCATGGCCGTGAACTGGAAGACGTCTGACCAGCCTTCGGGACCGCTCACTTGGTACGAGTACTGCTCACCGGGCTCCAGACCCGTCAGGTTCACGCTGCGTGCGGATCAGGGGCAACATGGGTGTCCAGATACCTGCAAGCCTGTCAGCCTCTCACAATGCGCTGCTTTGAGGGTGAATACGAATGTGCCAGCTGTGACTTAAAGTCCAGCCTCACGGTAGCTGTTTGAGATCACCTAACAAGTAGCATTTATGTGTTGCGGCAAGCCATTCGTATGGCGTGTAATCGACAAAATATGCTTCCAAAGCAATGCCTTTATCAACAGCGAGTTTTTGCAGTGCTTAACAGTTTATACCATACAAGGTTCGCCACAACATGGTCTCCTCCCTCTCTCCCTCTTTCTTTCTCTCTCTCTTTCTCTCTCTCTCTCTCTCTCTCTCTCTCTCTCTCTCTCTCTCTCTCTCTCTCTCTCTCTCTCTCTCTCTCTCTCTCTCTCTCTCTCTCTCTCTCTCTCGCTCTCGCTCTCTCTCATGTAAGGAAGGTTTGAATCAGGGCGGCTCTTTTACCAGGGGTGAGTTTGCTCAATCGAATACACCCTTTGCTGGAAAATAAAGCGGCATGATGCGGTGGCCAAAACTATTGCTGAAATAAGTTCTCGGGTGAAAGAATGATCATCGTTTTTGTTACAATAATCTCTGATGCTCATTCTAGGCTATTTACCGGTCTTGCGTTCCATGTGCTCAAGCTGAGAAAGAAACGTCGAAGACCGATGGACAAAAGACATAATCAGGATCGAATATGTTCTTGCTACATCGAAGCCTTCTGAAGGTTAAGCGCAGCTGGTGTTGCGCGGTACCGCCAGCGCTGGTTAGTCGGTCACCTCTGATCGGACGAGGCCTGTGGTTTTGGAAACTGTACGGCTGATTCATACCGGACACAGGCCATTGAAGCCCGATGAACCCCTGCCGTCACAGATTGGGGACATGCGTCGGGGGCTGGTGTTTACTGAAAGTTTATCGGCCCGTCACTCATCCTCGCTATCTCCCTCCTCCCTCCCCGATATTTCCCTCTCCTTTCCTCCCTCTCTCTCTCTCTCTCTCTCTCTCTCTCTCTCTCTCTCTCTCTCTCTCTCTCTCTCTCTCTCTCTCTCTCTCTCTCTCTCTTCTTCTCTCTCTCTCTCTCTCTCTCTCCTCTCTTTCTCTCTTACTCTCTCTTTCTCTCTCTCCTCTATCGTCTCTCTCTCTCTCTCCCTCTCCTTTCTTCCTCTCTATCTTCCATTTCTCTCTACCTTTCTCTCTCCTGCTCTGTTTCTACCTCTCTCATTTCTTTTCCCTCTCCACCTTTATCTTCCGTCTTCACCTCTCTCTCTTCGTTCCCTCTCTTCGTCCTCTATCCCTCTCTCTCTGTCTCTCTCCTTCTCTCTCTCTCTCTTCTCTCTCTCTCTCTCTCTCTCTCTCTCTCTCTCTCTCTCTCTCTTTCTCTCTTTCTCTGTCATGCCCGATAGTTGATGCTCCAGCCATCCCGACGATGAAGGCCAAATTGCCAAGTCAGAGACTGGCACCATATCACCTACCGGTGAATGTACTGCTGGTGGTGATCGGCCCCCTGCACAAAAAGTGTCGAGAAACCGGTATTCTGTAACATGTGTTATTTCGTTAAACAAATGTTATATCCTTTGGCCGCCGAACAACAATGCAGACTTAAGTTATGCAGCCTGCCCACACACGAAAACAGTACATTTTTAATCCATTGCAATTTGCAATCCTCACATAGGTATTTTAATGAGCTTTTATATGTTTTATGCGTCGTAGACCCTTATTAATTTCCAGATTGATTTTAGACTGTACACCTGACCACTCCCACTTGTCCGACCATAGATTGTGATTACATACTATGGTTTGTAATCGAGACAGTGAATCTATTGGAATAAACTGAGACAAAGTTTTCCTGAGCACACAAATTAATGATGAACTTTGAGGCCTGTTGCATTGCACCAATGTTGATATTCGTGACGCGAGAGTAGTTTTTCTTTTGATAGGCCAAGAAAATCGTATTCGATACTAGCGCTATCTATTTTTGGCACTGGGATCATCCCACAACAAGTCTCAAACTTGCCACTTTCCATACTTCTGGTGCCTGGTGGACTAAGTATGAGATAGATATCATGAATAATGCCAGCAAAACATTGCCAAATAGCTTAAGCTAACTTTTTATTAAAGAACATTAATTTTTGGTAAAACGCCAAAGCTGTGCGGTTACGAGAATTCTCCAGCAGACCGGGGTGGGTTCAAGCTTGCGATTGCTAGCGCATCATTGTAATGATGATTTGCATTGGATATGTGTGGGTGTGGGTGATTATTATTATTATTGTGTGGGTGATACGTGTTTGCTGGAGTTTAGTTTTGCCGGTACTGAAACATTTCTTTTGAACAGCTACTTGCATAAGCATGTTGAAGGCTACCCGGTCACGCACAAAACATTTTGTGATAGGCCACCCGGTTTCACTGTCCCACCACCAACTACCGATTACTGGCGCCGGCTGCAGACGCTTCGATGGCAAATTCCAGGCCGCCTCTCCGCCAAACACAAGCCACCAATCGCACGCGTTCTCCGCCAATCAACAGCCAGAACTGGTACTGGGCCCGATGCAACCCGCAAATCACATCCCGCAAATTTGAGTCGCCGGCGAGCTGGCACCTCCAATCCACAGTGAGCATCGCTGCCATAGTTTTGCTCTGGATAGTTATCTCGACACCCAAATGGGCGAGGATGCGTAGCGCCGCGGGGTGTTGATGGGTTCGTAACGTGTGGGCGGCGGGTTCGATTCGCGGGACGGCGGCGGACTTTTGTTTGATATACATGTTACAAGCTTGATATACATGGTCCTACAAGCTTGCAATGGTACAGGGGAAATTGCCCCTTTTCCCCCTCCGGTCCACCCCTAAAATCACATGATCACAGTTTAATGGTGGAGCGATCGCTTGCTTTTCCTTGTTACTTTCATAACGCGAACGCATGCAGTCACTGTATGTGTAACGTTGGAATCACACATCCTCCACTGCGAGACCTCAGAGACTGCGAGCTGCGGAACAAAGTGCAGGCTTCGCTGGCCATCTCGCCCTATCTGGCTCACACTAGGAGTGCGACCCGTGCGCACTACCGAGGGCGTCTGGGGCTGGAGCTGGAACTTCGACAGGATGTGCACCCCAGCTGCGGCGGTATTTCTGCTACCTGCGATCTCCGCCAACATGCGTTTTTGGGTTTCCAGTCTGTGAACAGCTACTGTTTGGGCCGGTGCACCGAATACGCAGGCTCGGCAAGGAGCAAGATGTGCATGAGATCACCCTGACCCCCTCCCCCCTCCCTACGAATGTGGTACAGGCTGCAGAACTTGTATTAAGTTGTACGTCAGACAATATATTCTGAGTCATATGCTATGCATGGCCGTGCTTGCACCACGTAAGTTGTCTCAGAGAAATGAACGTTGAATGCCATACTAACCAACATTCTCGTACAACGAGCTCATACTCAACAGCACATTAAATTTCCACCATATGGCAATGAATCCGGCAATGCCTGATCGCATATTTGACATTATGTAGACCGAGACATTGTCGGACGACGGCTTAAGAAGCGCTCAGAAGCATCGTTTCCATACACCAAGGTATTTTATATCGCTTGCTGCCCACAGTTTGGCGTTACCTGCCGCAACGAACGCCGCCCAGTATGAGGTGACTGCAACGCTTGGCGTCGGCTTACAGCGATATTCCGATCGGCTCGCGCATCACGAATTTAAGTTTTGGGGAACAACTTTTGCTATGCCGTGTACGTTTGGACTCCTGCGCCAAAGAATCTCTTTGTCTCAACTGATTTTGTTACTGATGACACACTCTACTACATACGTTCAAGTACCATTAGCACTGGCTTTCATCTGGTGCAGGCTTTTTAATAGAGCATTTCAATGTAATTCGGCACACAATCGACGGCTTAGCTTGTCTTCATCAAACCGAAAGCAGATTTACGCCATGCATCGGCATGCCATCCACCTGCACCATTACACAACTTATATAAGTATGTATACTTCTGTACAGAAACCAAACGGAATACAAAACGGAAAGTACTACCTTCCATTAACGTCTCTAGCTGCGTCAATCACAAGTTTATGGGCGCATTATCTCGACTATTTGCCGCCATGAACATCGCGATGCTGCTTCAGTGCGTTAATACCTTTCCTCGCCTCCAACCTCCGTGGTTCTTTGTAGACAAAACATTGAGGTGAGGGAGGGAGCCCCGTCCTATCTATGCCGTCTTCATGGCACACGCTGCTGACCTGACCTGACCTGACCGGCTGCGGACGCTTTCGCCCCCCTCTCGCCGCCTCACCTGTGAGTCCAGCTGGGCCCGGCCGTACCGCACCACCGTCTCCCACTCGTCGGCCGTGCTATAGGTGACCGTCACTGCAGTGATGTCGCGGGTGAAGGACAGGTGAATCTGCTCCGGCTGCCTGCCGACCGCTTGACAGCAAGGCGCCAGCAGCAATAACGGAAGCAGCAGCAGCAGCGGAGGCGGCGGCGGCGCACCTGGCGGTCTCATCTCTGGCTGCTGGACGCGGGTGCCCCGGGGCGTCAGGAGAAGCCGGCTCCCGTGCTGCAAAGGTTCGGCAAAGGGACAGGGAGCAGCTCCCGTGCTGCCGAGCTCCAGGGAGGGACGGGGAAAGACGGGGAAGCAGCCGACATAAGTACGCTGCGAGGTACGTTTGACTGACTGGGGAAGAACGCTGGTGAGATTGGGGCTGGTGCACAGAGCACGTTGAATGACGGCACCAGCAGACGAAGATATCGCCACAGCATGTAGCAGTAGACAGAGTTAAACCACATCCTTCGACATGTGGCCGATGCAGCACTATTTGACAGGGTAGAAGCGGTTGCAGTACTGAATCTGTCTCCGTCTCTTTTTCTGGGTGTGGACGAAAAGAACGTCGGGCTATTTCACACTATCTCAGACACACTCTACTTTAAAGGTGCGCACGGCGTCTGCAGTTCACATCAGGTGGCTAGAAAAACGACACTTTCGGAATTGTAACCATAACTATCTTTACTCGCCTGTCGTAATGGGTCCCATTCACTTTTGCTTGAAAGTTCCTCCAAGCAGCATCACGAGCCATGTGTGAGAATGTTACACAATCACCATCTATGACATCATGCTCATTATGATGTCAAACATACCTTAGTGGAAGTTCACGATGTATCTGACAGCAACGCGTTGCCATAAATGCCGAAAAGATTTGAGGGGAACCTAGATTGCTATATTTTCTTAGTGCGTCCGATACCACCTGAGACGCTGCCAGGTGTCAGGAAACGTTTACGTGGGTAAACATCTAGCACCGCGTGCTTTCGTCTTATCAGTTCACTACGCACACATGCCTCTTTCATCGGTGTTCACTGCTGTATCGGTATGACTACATCTGACGCTGTGAGCACGTCTGAGAGTGCTAAGCACGCTTGACAGTGGGAACACGTCCGACAGTGTGAGCACGTGTAAATGTGTAAGCACGCCTGACGGTCGAACACGTCCGACATTGTGAACACGTATGACTGTGTAAGCACGCCTAACAGCGGGAGTAGGTCAGACAGCGTGAACGCGTGTGACTGTGGAAGCACGCCTGACTGTCGGGGTACGCCCGACGGCATGAGCACGGCTGGCAGTGTAAGCCCGCCTGACTGTCCGGGGTACGCCCGACAGTGTGAGCACGGCTGGCAGCGTAAGCCCGCCTGACTGTCGGGGTACGCCCGACAGTGTGAACACGCCTGACAGTGTAAGCCCGCCTCACTGTCGGAGTACGCCCGACAGTGTGAACACGCCTGACAGCGTATGCCCGCCTCACTGTCGGGGTACGCCCGACAGCGTGTGCACGGCTGGCAGTTTGCACACGTCTCACAGCAGGAGTGTGTCTGGTGACGTGACTACGTCTTACAGTGCTGGTCCATTTGACATTGTCACCAACATCGCCGTGCAGATAAACATTTTTGAGTGCTTCGACACTCAGTAGAGTGTTCCATATTTATATGGAGTTTTTAACTGAGATAGCAATCTTGAAGACCTTTCGGCATTCTTCCCAGACCTGCCCTTCTTAAGACCTAATCCCGTCTAGTTTCTGAGCGACACGCCTGCAAAAATGGGAAAGCTGTATCGGCGAGAGCATTTCAATAGTCACCTTGGCATTCATTAAATGACATCATGACGTCATTTAAATCCTGCCATTCCATAAGTCATGCGGCGATCAAAGCTAGGAAGATATAATTGTCGAGGCGTTCATAGTTGGCTTTCGGTGAGCGTTGATTTCCAGATATAACAGCCGTCATTGGTTCTCACTCAATGGTATGCAAGGCACGACGACGTAATCAGTCCATGCCGCATTGAGGAACATTTTTACTTATCAGAGAATTGTGCTTTCTAGAACAGTCTTTTACGCCTAAAAGGACAGCAATAGTTATCAATGAGCTTGTTTCACCATATCTGATGCTTGCTTCAATATCTCCAAATGTGAAACATTCCCTTTAACGCCATGTTCGGCTACGTCGTCGTTATCTTCAAGTTGGCGCGTACTGGGACCAACGCGTACCAATGCGCCATGGTGCTGGCGGCGGTGCGACTGCTCTGCAACCTCTTCTCGACGTCGCTGATCGACCGCCTCGGGCGGCGCGCAATGCTCTCCATCTTGGGTGCGTTCTGCACCGTCTCTCTGACCGTCATCGGCGCCTACTTCTTCGTGCGTCCAACAGGACGAGGAGCTGGTGCAAGACCTACACTGGCTACCGTTGGCCAGCATGACCGTCACCATCTCCAGCTACTCGGTCGGGCATCGGCCCACTCAGCTGTGCATTCTTCGGCGAGATGCTGCCGTGATCGGTGTGCGAGCTGTACGACATCAACGTCACCATCATCTTCTGATCTGTCACACTCTTCACCATCCTGCAGACGTTCCACCTATCTGACGCATATGCTAAGCAACCACGGCATGTCCTGGGTGTTCTTGAGCGTGTGCACCGTGCCTTTGCTGTTCACCTGCTTCGACAATCCCGAAACTCGCCTGCGCACCCTGGAGGACATCCAGTACGAGCACTTCGTCCACCAAGAAAACCGAGACGAAGTGTGGCGCGGCAAGAACTGACGCACTGTGAGGCGGCGCAACGATAAATGACGTGCTGGTTGGCGACACGACGAGAAACTACTGCACTGTGAGGCGTTGCGGCAAAAAGTGGCGATCTGAGGCGCTGTGAAATGAAGTGGCGCTGCTGAGCTGCGTCTGGCCGGCGCACTAGGCGCGAGTGTCTCGGTGATACACCAAGCGGCGGCTAGCCGCCGCATCAGATAATATTTCGTTCGCAGTCTCCAAAATCGTACATGCAGGTCATTTCAGTGTGTCGATTCGATTGGCTAAGGCCAACTCATAGACAGCCTATTCTCAAACAACGATTAGCCAGTTTAATGTAATTTATGTCTCATCAAAAAAAAACAGCCGGATTTTGTTTTTGTGTGATAACACACCCTTATGAATTGAATGTTATCGATATAATTTCGCAATAAATTACATACCGTGCCGAAAAAGCTGTGTGTTATCTATGTATCAATCATCTTCATTCCAAGTAATTTAATGAAAGCGCCAGGTTTCTCGCACTTACCTAACAAGGAAGTGCTACATCAGTGGACCATCACATATTAAACTATCATAAAGGTCCAATGCAATAATCAAACCAGTTGTTATCGGTTTCAACAGGTGTCTGGCTCTACGCGTTTGGTTTTGGCATCATCCACGTGATAACAGCTGACAACTCCCACGTGCGTTACCGCCTCGCTCGTCCAGCGCCGCGGATACTCCTTCCCGGCTACGCCCGTAAATACAATGATGCTGGCTGTGCAGTAACAGAAGACAGCCGAGGACTGCAGTGATCACAGCTTCAACTCAGGACCCTTCCTTTTATGAGGACGGTCTCACAGTCCAATCCCACCGGCGCCGCCCGCACCGGCGCTTACCGGCGTCCAGTGGCTGAGCCTTTGGACTGCGAGAACCAGCGCCACCTTTAATTGTAGCGCGGAACTAGTAGCGAGGTCTAGCGTCGCTCTCCGTTACTGGATGGTCAGCTGCGGTGCCACTAAGCAGTGCAGTCTAGAATGCTGCACTGACTTTTTGGGCGTGACGAAAGGAAATCGAGTTTCCTCACGCTCCTGTCGCTAAATTCGGTTTTTGTTGATGTCCCCTTACCTGATCTGTGGTTGCAATGTTTTCTGATCAGTTAGACACTATGAAATTGACTGAAGCCTTAAACTGCGCATGCACTTGATATAAACAGGAAAAACATTCGGCTCCTGGCTTTCTAGTATCGTGTAAAACATAAACATATATCTATCTGTTTACCCAGGTATGATTAGTCGTGATCATACGCACGGTTCAAAGCGGTAATATAACCGGGGTTCGCACCATAGCGTCGTTTAATCAGTGTCTCCTGCGATCGTAGAGGTTGATAACTCAGCATAAGTGCTCACAGCTCACAGCTAAAGGCGTGGAAACTGAGATCAGGCTGAGGGACGGACGGAGCGGCTTCAGAGTGTCAAAATGAGACTCCTAAGGCTCGATCGTGGGCCCCTACAAGCCAAAACTGGCCCGGTACAGGCCAGAATGGATCCTTCAAGTCAATGATGACACCTCTTAAGATCAGAATGGGTCAGGTCAGAACTGGCCTTCTGCAGTCCATGACTGTGAACACTACAGTTAAAAGTGGGCCCTATTCAAGCCGGAGTGGGCCCTCCACAGTCAACAATGGGCTTTCGTCAGATCAGAATGTTCCCAATACGGGTCAGAATAGGCCCTCTGCATGACAAAATGACAGAATGGGCCGTCGGTAGGCCAGAATGGGCTCTTTACAGGCTAGAATGAGCCCTCTACAGACCTGAATGAGCCCCTCTACAGACCAGAATGGCCTGTCTATTTTCGATAATACGCCTTCCACGTATCAGAATGGACCGTCGACGGGCTAGAATGCATTCTAAAAGCCTATAATGGGCCCTTTACAGGTCAGAGCCCCCCAAGAACAGATCCTCTGCAGTCGGTAACATGCCTTATACATAATGTCAGGTCAGAGCGAGTCCTCTGCAGGCTAGACTGGGTCCTCTACAGGTCAAAATTGGCCCTCTACAGTCAATACTGGATACTCTGCAGGTCATCACGGGCCCTCTACAGATCATGATGTCACCCTACAAGCCAGAATAGTCCTCTCAAGGCTAGAATGGGTCCCTCACAGGCCTCAAAAGTCGCGGGGGAGACGGGCACCGTCCCTCAAGCTTTCAAGTTGGAGGGGAGGGGAGGCAAGCTTTGCCCACTGCTCCCTCCCCTGGTTTCTGCGTCCTTGTTTAAACAGCCTAAAAACTAGGGCTAGAATACGGCGTGCACACATATCTGGGCTCCGTCATAAGGGAAGCGAATGTGAACAGCGGCTCAAGCTGCTTTTCCCAGAAGTCACTTCTGCTGGCCTTGAACGGGGTAAAGGGACACCAAGAACAAAAGTATCCAGGATGGGCATTCATGAACATTTACGTATATGCACGGTTGAAAATTAATCTGAGCATCTAAATGAAAATTTTTGCACCAACTGGTGCATATAGATGCGATTGATGGGAAGGTTAAAAAGTGGGGCCATTCGCGCGTGATTGGTGCCCCAGGTCGTCGAGCCTGAGGTTGTGTGCGCCGATGCTGGCCACAGGCTACCGAGCCGAAGCCTGCACGATGGGCCGCACCATCTGTATCCAACCTTGCAGGTTTTCCAAGCGCCGCCGACACAATACGCGGGGAATAACCGTATCGTGTGAACGCTGCCTTCTGCATGCTGTCAGAGGCGGCCGTGTTTGCCGAACCATGGGTCCACTTGACACGAACCAGCAGGTGCATGTGGTAGTGGCATTCACTCAGACGGGTCTGGAAAGCGGTCTGCATGCTAGCCGGGACCGATCGGAGGCGACAGTGTGGTTGGGGCCACGCGCGCACGCAGGCCGCTAGCTGGGTTGCGGCAACCGCCCGTGGCGGGTGCGGCCGATGGTCCCGACCAGCACGCGTGCAGAGTGTAACCCAGAACGTGAGGGCGGGAACGACGGTTTCGAGGGCACCTTGCTCCTAGTACTAGCACACGGACATGGTTGGTACGAGGAAGACGTCGGCACAACCGAGGAGGAATATGGCGCCGTGCATGATTTGTTGCCATCACCTCGCTCTCCTAGTGCCACCTGTCCATTTCCTCAGTACTAGCAGTTCGCGCGGCCGCCGACTCCGCGGCCGGCCGCCGGTACCGTCCGGCGCCAGCAGCAGGCAGTCGGTCTCAGGCTTTGGCACGATGAGGGTGGGACAGCTGACAGCGGTGGTGCTGGTGGCGACGGCAAGTGTGGCCGCCGCCTACAGCGAGGAGTTTTTCTCGTCGACGTCACGACTGGAGCAGCTGGTCAGCCGGGAGGAGGTGGTGGTGGACCGGCTGGAGCGCTACCTCGAGGACGCCTATCAGAGCCTTGAGAACGTCCGAAGGTAAGGTAGCAGAAGCATGGCTCTGTTAGCAGTGTCAACAGCCCTTCATTCGTGCTTCTGTATTTTTGATTCGCCCCTCATCATCAGCATAGCTACTGTGTGATTACAAGCCTGAGGACCTTTATGGGCTTCACAAACGAGTCGTGGATTTCATCTTAACCTCCCAGCGTATGCAGAAGACTGCTGCTATGCTGCTACTCATTTGGTTGAAATAAGGTAGAATCTTCATGGAGACACTTATTGCGCCATATGGGGCTGTCGTGGGAACAATGTGGTTCTCCTGAGGGGGAGCCGTAGCCTGATGCGGCGATTCCTGATGCGGCGTTGCAACAGCGTCCCCGCTTCGTCCGGCGGATTGTGAACTAACCTGTCCGTACACGGTCTCTCTCAGGGCTACCTGAACCCGACATGAGTCTGGGTTTCAAGGATCAATTCTGAATGTCATGGGAATGTGTGAAGGAACCAAAAGATGGCTTCTTAAAGAAACCCGTAATGAATTACGCCGTGACATATTCCTGTCATAAACTGGAGATTGGCTGCCCCATTGGCCAGCTGCCCCATTTAGCACTGGAGATGCAAGCCATGTCGTACAACATAAACTACGTATTTTTTCAGGCCGACAGAGAATTGGGTCGCAAAATATTCCAAAACTCGGATTATTGATCACTGATGGAAGCGTCCGCGGTTTGCCCATATCTGCTAATTCCGATACCGACTGGATGATGGGCTGCATCAAATACATATTTAAGAACATGACCCGTATTAGTACGGATATGGGTAACACGTGCACGAAATATCCGGCAGATACTTTAAGAGTCGTACACAATGTTCTAGACCGTTTTGCTTTTAGTCATAATTAGCTCCATTCACATCACTGTTGCATTTATCAACGCAGATAAGTAAGTTTAGGTGCAAACATCGCTCAACCTCATGAACACTTAAGATCGAAGGCTTAACAAATTGCAAACGGACGGGTACCAGGTGGGTACAACTAATTGGTAGTGAAGGAGGGAGGAAGTAGTTATGGGCGCAGTCCCGTGGGTAGCGGTTGCATTGGGTGAAGAAAATGTGGTTCGGAAATCCTCTAATGGCTGAGCCGACATAACATTGAGATGGCTTTCTTAGCGCCAGTTTGGTGCGCTGAACCTTACCTGTGCCGCAGCACACACACTCCCTGACACTTCAGTTGAGTTTCTATTCATCGATAGCATTCACTCAATGGTCCGTATGGCGCCAGGATGTCAGGCCTCTTGTGATGCGTAACGACGCTTCCCCGTGATCACTCAGATGGAGACTGCAATACAATGCAGAAGAGATCCGGAAACGGCGTCCGGTGGAGGTGGGATACCTTCCAATGAATTGAGCAATGCACTTCTGTTTTTATATGGTCATTAGTCAATAAGCTGGACATAACGCACCTGCGTCTACAGCTGATCAGTTTCGACGTTAAGCGCAACTGCAGAAGCCACATTTCTGCTGGCATTCTAACCGCTGCTTCACGATCGGTACAAGCGTAAGCCAGATACCGTGCTCAGCGCAATGAATAGCGTACCCAAGCAACGTAAAACGACCCTATCTATATCACCAAGGATTGCGGTTTGGGGTTTTTGGCCCATATGCTCGGGGACCCATTGAAATAGGTTTCCAATGTACTCTCACACTGGCTAACATGTTCATTGTCCCGCAATGTCTCCCTAATGGGAAGCTCTTCGTAGTCAGATGGACTTTCTGGGAAATGGGATGGGACGGTACCTCCATGGACTTCTTTATCGTCTTTTAGGGCAGTTTTTGTATCAAATAGGAGAGCTCTCCGTACTTAAACCAAGTCTGAGGACGGCTTAAATGTTCCTACCTCCCGGAGTACGATAGCCAGATACGAGAAAACACGAGCGTTTGATACTTCGTGTGGAGCATCAAAGTACTTCGTAGGGAAGAAACAAATGATCTGGGCTATTCTGAGGGCTCCTCTAAAAATGATGTTGTTGTTCGAACACTGCATTTGATCGTCACTGTGTCGCACCTTTTTCCGTCGCAACAAATACATGAACTCAATAGGAATAATGGCTGCTGGACGCCGGCAATGTACGGCGCGTGAACATTTCGTCCTTTTACTTCAAGTATTCGCCACTGGCGAGCAAGCGATCAGCCACTGGCATTTCAGCGATTCGAAAATATGGGATTGCAGCCGTTTAGGAAATGTTAATGTTTAGGTTGGATCGTGTACAGAACGACACATAATTGGGGTGGTGAATACAAACATGAATCAGTGCATGCGGCGATGTCGATATCAACAAGAACACAGCCACAGTTTCAACGACCGCGTGTTGCATTCGGCGCCGTTTTCAAAAAGCCAACATTGCCGGATTGTCCAACGATCACTGGTGTCCACGCGCGTCGCAAAAACTCGTGTTGCCCACCCGATTTGCAGACGGTACGTTGGTCGATGTTTTAAGGCTGGACACGCGCCTCCATCCACTTTGGCTGTAGAGATATTGTAAAATGCGTGAAAGAGGTCAAACACGGGGAAGAGGAGCGCTGTTTTGCCGAAGCAACGGACCTTTGAAAATGACAGCATTTTTTAAATCCTCTTATAGCATTCGCAGCATATTCATTTTTCGTTCGATACGTGTGGTTTCTCTGACATTTCCTAGAGCAGAGGGTGCGAATTATGCATTCGAATGTCACTGTAGACTAGCTTGTTCTCCGCAGGGAATGAATGAACTAAAGCTGAATAACTGCTACCGGCCGCCGGTATCATACGACACGCACAGTTGGTTGTTTTACTCATACTGAGTGACCGAGCAATCGGCGACTGAGCGATCAGCGACTGAGCGATCGGCGACCGAGCGATCGGCAACTGAGCAATCGGCGACTGAGCGATCAGTGACTGAGCGATCTGCGGCTGTGTGATCAGCGACTGAGCAATCAGCGGCTGAGCGATCAGCGGCTAAGCGATCAGCGGCTGAGCAATCGGCGGCTGAGCGATCAGCGACTGAGCAATCGGTGACTAAGTGATAAGCGACGGAGCGAGCAGCGACCGAGCAATGGTGACTGAACGATCAGCGACTGAGTGATCGGTGACTGAGCGATCAGTGACTGAGTAATCGGAGACTGGGCGATCAGCGACTGACGATCGACGACTAAGTGATCGGCGACTGAGTGATCAGCGACTGAGCGATCAGCGACTGAGCGATCGGTGACTGAGCGATCAACGACTGAGTAATCGGAGACTGAGCGATCAGCGACTGAGCGATCAGTGACTGAGCGATCAGCGACCGAGCGATCAGCGACTGAGCGATCGGCCGGTGGCATTTTGGTGATGCGAAAATGTAACGTTGCTACCCTTTAGGAAAAGGAGTAGACACGGGGAGGGAGAGGGCCTTGGATGCCATGGCATCCCCTTTTCGCACGCAAGCGACTGACTTCAAAACTAATATTGATACCTTGGCTTTCTGAGACACTCCTCTGCCTATGACATTAGGTAACCTGACGTTTAAACGAGATGGTGCACAGAATGCTGATGAAATGTGTGGTAAACCCATGCAATGAATCGGTGCAGGCGGTGCGCTGATGCAAAAGTTGCCATGAACATAGCTACAGCTTCGACGACAGTGTGCTACGTTTCGCACCTTTTTCGAAATATCCATCTGCCCCGTTGCAACATAACATGTACAAACTGTTGAAGACGAGACAATCCATATAGACTGCTTCTGTACGCGTGACACATGACACATGACACATGACACATGACACATGACACATGCTACCGCACACGTGACACAATGCGATTCCCAGATCATTTGCCTATCGATGCGCGCCACTTTCCTTGTCGTTGCGACTTTTCATTAGCGAGATGTGGTCATGATTTCGAGCGACTGCCTGCCCGTTTCGCCCGCGTAAAATTTTCGGACCACTCATGCAAAGCCGACGGGCCTAAAAAGGGGGCTTCTGGCACATGTCACACCCGAACTACGGACCGCACCAGCGCGCAAACCGTCTTTAGAAACCGCCTAGTGCGCCAGTGCATCGTGTTGAAATTCCAGCCCCGTATCGCTCACCGTTTGACCTACAGACTAGCCAACGTAGAAATAAGACAAACAGACAAACAGACAAACACTATATACATACATGCATATATATATATATATATATATATATATATATATATATATATGAGTGTATCTATATATAACAGACAAGAAACGAAGGCGACAACGTCCATAAATGCGGTGATCGCCAAGAGCACGCGGCTCCCGTGACCGGTCGGGCCACACCGGGTCGAACTGCGCCGAGCCGCTGACCGCCTCCTGTCGGTCAGCAGCTGGCGCGTGACGTGCGTGCCCGGGCCGCCTCCGTCCCCGATCCGCCGCCTGCAGAGGGCCGCCCCGCTGGCCCACTTGAGTGCGGCGGCGACCGACAGGGGCGCGCTGCAACCCAGCTGCATTCCCGGCGCGCCGCCGCCACCGCCGGCGGGGGCGGCGGCGCGCCGGGAGATGATCTCGCCTCCGGTTGAACGGCGTCCGGTACCGGGACCGGCAAGCCCGCGGAGGATCCGGAAACCTGCAGTGGGAGCTGGAGATGCAAGAAGCGGTACCTGACGAGCGCGAACGCCTGTGCTGTCGCGTTATGCAAAGCAGGCATAAGTCAACAGCAGCAGCCGTTCAAGCGCCATTCATCTGCAGCGACGCCGGCTGGACGGTGCTCACCAGAGCTGCCGCCGCCGTCTCGGCCTGTCTCGAGGAGATCGCCAGACATCCGGCGGCGGTCCCGGCAGTCTCAGCGCGTCAGACTTCGCCGTCCGGCAGACGGCGTGCGCGACGCTCATGGGAAATGGGTCGCCGCCGCTGACCTTGACCGCCCGGTCACGTGACCCAGACGGGCGGCGCCCCGTTGCTAGGCGGCAGCCGGGTGCGGCGCGGCGGCAGCCGGCGACAGAAAACTATTGCGCTGGGTTGAGACGTTCTAATAATAAGTGAGAGCGAATGGCAAATACGGAAACA